CATCTTGTATGACGCTACATACTCAGGCTTACCGTCAAAGTGGAACAACACATGCATATTATAAGGCCCTTACACTTAACAGTTCAACAACATTCCAATCATCAAGGCATGAAAACACAGCATGCATATAAACCATTCCCCCATGGGGTATGGTGGAACCAAACAATGGCTAAACCGAGAACACGAAAGCTTACCTCGCAAGCTAACTATCTAAGCCAAGCTCACACTAGCTCAATGCCCACAAACAGCACAATCACAATCTGTTTATATCAGAAATGTCATCAATAACCATACTTTAAAGATTCATCTCATTATGACAATATTTCCTTTTTCGTTTACATCTTTTCTAGTTCATTATTATCAAGTATTAAGTCCCTCAATTAAAGGTATCACTGTTTTCCAACAGTAACACAAACTTCCTAGGCCATCATGCCCAAATGGGGACTTTCCCACGCATTAAAACTGGTTTCTGGTCATTTTCACAGGTGGTAATCGATTACCAAGGACATGGTAATCGATTACTGAAGTAGGTAACCGATTACCAAAAGCATGGTAATCGATTACTGAACTAGGTAACCGATTACCAACGTAAGGTAATCGATTAACATGCGGGCAGAACAGTTTTTTGCAGAATTTTCTGCATAAACCGAAGCAAAAATGGCTCCCAATGATCGAAGGTTCGATTTTGACCCAAAACAGATGTTCATTAACACTTATTAACCCTAGATTAACCACCCTAAGCTTGAATGATTAAAGTTATCTCATTTCATGACACAAACAAGCTATTTTCATGAAATTTCAAAGAGAATGTCAAACTCAGCAGAAAAGTAAGCTCTTGGAGCTCTCCAAACTGACCCAAAACTTAGGTTCAACAAAGCCACAAAAATGTATCACAAGGTTGGACCTTTCTCCATCAAAATGGCACCATGAAGCATAAAATGGCATGCAGATGGCTCCCACACCTCACAACCTCCAAGACAGCAGCTCCCTCACTCAACACAACACCCACAACTCAGAAATGGCTGGACTTTCACCCACCAAAGGCTAGAGCACACTCTTATAAGCAACTTTGGTGAAGGAACCAAGTGGAAAAGAGCTCTCTTGGTGCTTTAATGGAGGAGAGAAGATGGAAGAAGGGTGGCTGGTCACAAAACTCAGAAAACTCACGTAGAATAGATGGAGGCTAACCTAGGATCATGTGCCCAAGGGTATTTATAGGCGCGCTTAAGTTAATCGCGCACAATTAGCGTTAATAGCTACGCTTATTATTTTAATCTCAAACTTCATATTCTGAACCTAGCCATTTTTCTAGGATTTTTCATATTTTTATATTAATTTTTCGCAGCACTTTTTCGGTACGCGTTTTAACGCGACAGTATTAGTTCTGACACCAGTTCTCGTCATTTTGAGTTGAAACTTGTTTTACAAGTCCTACATATTATTCTAGGAATATTCATGCACTTATTATAATTTTCCGGGATACTTCATTGGTACGCATTTATACCGAGTAGCAGAACCGGTATCTGCACTTTTCGTTCAAAAAGCGACTTTCAGCATTATTACTCACTTACTATAATTATTGAAGTCTCATAATGATTTTTAGGGTCAATTATGGAATTATTTCTTAATTTCTCTTAATTCATTAATTAATTTCTTTAATTAACGGTGCGAGTTCTTACATCATCGGTACGCATTTATACCGAGTAGCAGAACCGGTATCTGCACTTTTCGTTAGAAAAACGACTTTCAGCATTATTACTCACTTACTATAATTATTAAAGCCTCATAATAATTATTAGGGTCAATTATGGAATTATTTCCTAATTTCTCTTAATTAATTAATTAACTTCCTTAATTAACTGTGTGGGTTCTTACAATAATAACCCTGAAATAAATTAAAATTACAAAAATACAATGATTTCTGCTCCAAAATAACATCATATTGGATTTCTGCATATAACTTATCTGCGATGACTGCAGAATAAGAGAACCTTTTATTTTTTACTTATGTGTCTTTTTTATTGAAAATGATAACTGAGTAAAAAAATTAAAATAACAGCTACAAATAAATGTATTGCAATTTATAAGGGGTATTTTTTCTATGAAGTGTCATCTTTTAATTGGAGAGACAAAGAAGGAAAATTAAACAAAAGGGTGGTAATTTGAATCCATAGCCATGCATGATGACCTGGCAAATTCCTCTATTCCCGTTGATTATATTACATGGCAGTTATGATAAAACAATAGTTAACTTGAATATATACATATAAATAATTAATTTATTAATTTTTTCTTTTTATTTAATGTAGGATAAATGTTTTCATGTTAGAAATATAAGAACAAATTTTACTTATTATCTGATCTTATCTTCTTTTAGTCAATTAAATTTACTTAGTTGAATAAACTGTCTGTCAAAATATGCGTTTCTAACTCTCTTTTTCTTTCATTTTGCCATCTTTTGCATTTGTGTTAATATAAAATTAATTCACAATAAAGATCTCATTTTTCATCACAAAAGAGATTAGTCTCTTTAAAATGGATGAGAACACTCCTAAGAACCCCCTCCCACCCAAAAAAAAAAAAATTGAATAATAAACTAGCATATTATTTTAGGAGTAGAGTTTAATTGACAATTTTTTTTTCCATATAATACTATGTCTTATCGGTAAGACTTTAATTAAAAGTGTCGTACCGATAAGACATAATATAGTTTATAAGAGTTTCTAAATACAAAATTTGTAAATATAATCTTCTTCTTATTTTATTAGATTATTCTTGAATCTCAAGACATACATTGAGAAAATAAACGAGTTACAATCTAAGAGTCTAGTGTTATTTCCTTCACTAAGTTGCCTCTCTCCTGGAAGTGTGATTTGTTCCACTCAAAACATGTACAAGACATTCCGCTAATCTTAGATGGTCCCGGTTAAAAAATTTCCCAAGAACATACATCAATGCAGTAGTCATCTCGAGATTGAACATAAATGTCAAAATAGTGAGAACCTGTTATCCAATTAAAGTTGCAAAAGTACAACGTATTCTTTAGAAAGAGAGAGGCACAAACTCGGAACTGTATGATTGTCCAACCAATAGTGTTTTAAACCCAAGGTCACGGGTCTTGTCTTTGCAATGAAGACCGAGCTGCATCGCATGTCATTTGTTGGTTATTTTAACGGTTACTTTGATAGGAAACGAGAAACTCTCACCATCCATGAACTTTAAAGCAATAAGTATGGTGAAAAAACATAAAGAATACGTAATTTTGGAGACGGAGGCCATCATTGCAGAGTGGGTTGATACAATAAGTGAAGGGAGATGAGTTTCTTTATATATATAACCCAACGTGATGAAATGCCAAGTCCATCCCTTCCCTCAATTACATTGTAATTATGGTCAATAATAAATGTCTTTGAATATATTAATATAGGGATTAATGTTTATCCAGAAAATAGAGGTAAGTTATATCTGCGGAGTATAAAACAACATCGTTTTGAAATGTTGATTCTGATACCTTATAGAGTTATCTCAAAGTTTAATAAATGTTAAAGTAGTGATTTGCTGTTATCCAATTAAAGTTGCAATAATACAGCTTATTCAATATGAAAGTAATCTGAAACTGGAAACTGTATGTTTGTCCAACCTGCAATACCCAAGATCATGATTCTTGTCTTTGCAATGAAGACCGAGCTGCATATTAGTTATTTTGTTGGAGATTATAACAGTCACTTTGGAAGTGAAAATTCCACTCTCACCAGTCTTGAACTTTGAAGCTAAAAGTATGGTTAAGAACATAGAGAGTGGTAACATAATTTTTGATACTGAAACCATAATAGCACAATGGTTTGATACAATAATTTCAGAAAAAATGAGGGTTAAAAGCATAGAGATTTCTTGTTATGTATAGATGGAGATGATGAAGTGTTAGATTCTTCCTTTCCCTCATTTACTCATAATTATGGGATTTAATCAGTGTCTTAAAAATAGTAACATAAAAATAGAATCATTTATTACTATTATTTTTTGTGTTTAATGTAATATTAAATATTTCCCGCTAATTAATTCAATTTATATAGGTGACAAAAGTCAAAATATGTATTTATGTCTCCCTTGTTTTTTTCATTTTTTTCTCACATTTGTATTTACTACAAAATTATTTCCTAATACATTTTTTTTTTAATCAAGAGGTTATATGTAGAATTGCAATGACTGACAAACGATGCAAACATTCACTACGTTGATTACATAATTAATGTATATATACTAAATTTATTTTATTTTTATTAATTGGTAAAAAATATAGAATTGCAATTCACATAAATAGATAAAAGATGCACACATGTAATTTGAATCTATAGCTGTACATGTTGACGTGGTTAAATATTCCTCTCTTCCCCTTGATTGCATATGACAGTTATGATAAAACAATAGTTAACCTGAATATATAAAGATAAATCATTAATTTATTAAAAAATTTGTTTTTATTTAATGCAACATTAGATGTTTTCAGGTTAGAAAGATAAGAACAAATATATTTTATTATCTGATATTATCTTCTTTTAGTCAATTAAATTTATTTTGTTGAATAACGTGTCAGTCAAAATATGCGTTTCTGTCTCTTCTTCTTTCTTTTTGCCCTCTCTGGCATTTGTGTTAAATATAAAATAATTTATAATAAAATATTATCTATTTGAAATGTTTATACAATGGATTAACAACCTCGGGATTAATAGTAAAAATCTCAACGTTCTTCGTCAAGAAAGAGATTAGTCTGGACCACTACTATTAATCTAATGATGTGGGGTGTGTGTTAAGTATATGTAGAATAATGTGTATAGTGTTGGATTTCCATTGTAATCCAAAAAATAACTAGTATCATCCAAATGGGTCGGAACACTCCTAATAACCCGCCATCCAAAAAAAAAAAAGTGAATAATAAACTAGCATATTGTTTTATTGGATTATTCTTAAATCTCAAGACGTACAATGAGAAAATAAACAAGTTACACTCCAAGAGTGTTATTCCCTTCATTAAGTTGCCTCCCACCTAGAAGTGATTTGTTCCACGCGTAACATTGACGAGTCTTTGCGTTAATCTGACATGGTCCCGTTTCAAAAATTTCCCAAGAACATAATTCCTCACAGTATTCATCTCGAAATTGATCATAAATGTCAAAATAGTGAGAATCTGTTATCCAATTAAAGCTGCAAAAGTACAGCTTATTCTTTCTGAAATTAATCGTAACCTGGAAACTGTATGATTGCCCAATCTGCAATGCTTGAAACCCAAGATCATGAGTCTTGTCTTTGCAATGAACACCGAGCTGCATATTAGTTAATTTGTTGGTGATTATAACTTTCACATTGTCAGTAAAAAATCCACTCTCACCAGCCTTGAACTTTGAAGCCAAAAGTATGGTTAAGAACATAGAGAGTGGTAACATAATTTCGGAGATGGAAACCATCATGGCACAATGGTTTGATAATAATTTCAGAGGAATTGATGGTTAAAAGCATAGAGAGATGGAGATGTTGTATAAATAGATTCTGAATAAGAAGTTAGAAAAATCATGTCTTTTCGTTTCGAATAGTCGCACCTCTTTTTTTTTTTTTTTTTTGGTACCCTAGTCGCACCTCTTTATTTGGTAACAGTTGCGTCTATCCAAAACAACAAATTAAGTAAAAAAGAAACTAGTTTATTTTACAATGTGTTTCTTTTAATTAAATATTAAATATTTCCCGCTAACTAAATACAAAAACATCAAATTTGTTTTACAATTCGCTACTTTTAATTTATTCAATTTATTTAGGTGACAAAAATCAAAATATGTCTTTATGTCTCCCTTGTTTGTTTTTATTTTTTCTCATATTTGTATTTACTATAAAATTATTTCTTAATAATTTTTTTTTAATCATGAGCTTATATTAAGAATTCCAATGGAAAAAGAAGCAAACATTCACTACGTTGACTACATAATTAATGTATATTAAGTTTAGTGTGTGTGTATAAATGTATATTACGTTGACTACATTCACTACGTTGACTAAATAATTTCAAAGCAAATGATGGTTAAAAGGATGGAGAGTTTCTTGTTATGTATAGATGTAGACTATGATGCACCGATGATAAGTGTCAAAAACACTATGTTTTAATGTGAAAAATAGTTCAAATAATAATTCATATGATTAAAAATATGGTGTTAATTAATAAAATTTGAAAGAATATGAAAATGTCAACAAATGGATAAGATTCTAATTTTTATTGTTGTTTCAGGTTGTTTTACACTAGAAGAACAAACTACTACTGACCTGATAAGGACGAGAAAACAGTTGGCATACGAGGAGTATCAAGAAAATCCAGAATTAAATAAATATATATAAAATTTATTAATGCTCGTTCCACTTCTCGCTTCAGCGAGAAAGTGAGCGAGCAAAACAACTAAGCTCGCCTTCTAGCGAGCACAATTTTGAGCAGCTCACCCTCCAACTAGCAACAACGAGCACAATAGCGAGCAAAGCAAGAGAGCTCGCCTTTCAGCTCCCCACTGCGAGCAAAATGGCGAAGAGCTCGCTCCGCTGCTCCCCATAGCAAGCACAGTAGTGAAGAGGAAGAAATTACTCGCTGAGCAGCTCGCTTCAGCGAGTGGCCCAAAAATAAAAGCCCACTTTTCAGCCTATAAATACAACGCGACGAAGCCTTCAGAATAACACATTCAGAAGACGGACGAAAGAAAGGCGAACACGGAGACGAAGGCAGAAGTTGAGGAGAAAGTCTGGAGCGATATTCCAGAGGAGGAGAAGGAGATCAAAGCTTCACCATTGATCGTCTTTAATCCAAGTTTTATCATGAACTCTGTTTATTTTAATTATTTAGTAATTCTGAATTTATGAACATGTTAGGGTAGTTTATTTATGTAGTTAGGATTATCGATCCGATGTGAATCCTATTTGTGGTTTGATTTAGTTTCTTTAATAAATTATTTCAGTATTTGTGTTTTACCTTGCATGAATTTTTATATCCTTGTATGAACTGATCACTCCTATAGGGATTTGAGGGTTAGGACTCGCAATAGACATATTGGGGTTTTAGTCTTGACAGGGGTAAAATACCAATTCTTGTATGACCTAGACATAGGCTTGCTTGAGTTGTAGACTTCATTATTCATCGCGTTTAATGCTTATTCTAAGAGGAATTAACTAAGACATTAGGATTCTAATTAGAGTAAAGGGTTAAAGTCACTAAGACATTAGGATTTAACCAAATAATTTTTAGAAGATGAATTGTTTGAAATATCTGAGGTAAATTATTATTGAAATTAATTTAAATTACTCTAGAAGGATCTGAGGTGAAATAATTCCTAACTGCAACTTTTGTTTCTGATATTCTAAATTCTCAATTCTTGCGTTCTTGATATTCTTGTTATTTACTGCAATTAATTTTAGTTTAAATTCAAAAATTATTCTCAACAATCAATTCGAGTTTTCCAAATTAAAGGGAATAGTTATAATAGTACTTGGCTCATTAATCCTCGTGGGACGATATTCTTATTTCACTACTTTATTACTTGAACGATCGGTATACTTGCCGTAATCGCAACAACCAACACTGACACGTGACACGGGACACGACACGGCACGACACTCCGACACGTTAATTCTAAAAAATGTCATATTTCAACACGTTGGGACATGTTTTGATATTAAATAAAATTTTTAATATATATAATATAATTTATATTTAATACATATAAAAGTCCATAATAAGTCGTATAACCAATCAAATATTTAAATTTTATAACATAAATAAAAATAAAAATAGAGTAAAGACCCAAATTGGTCCCTGACAAAAAACTCGGTGCCCAAATTAGTCTCTCACAAAAATAAATTCGTTAGATAGTCCCCAACAAAGTGAAACAGGACCCACGTTAGTCCTTCTATCAATCCAAAACTAAAGGTGTGAATGACGGTGATGATGTGTCTCGTTAAGTGCCAAATCTGAAGGCCACGTGGGTTGAGGAACGACGTCGTTTGGAGATAGTCATCCACGTTGGTCAGACTGAATCTCTTTCATCCAAGGAACGTCGTCATTTTTTTTTAGGGTTCAGCTTAAACCAGAAAGCATGGCATTGAATCGAAGATTGAAGGCATGAATTTGGGGAAAATTGATTGACGGTTTAGTGAAGGTGGGTGTATACTGTACGATTTAGGGTTGTTCTTAGTTTTTATGCTCCATTGTGTAAATGTGGGAGGCACAATGTTGTGTACACCTTTAGGACACTTAGAAACCCTAATAGATCATTTTTTGGGTGCCCCAACTTCAAGGTGAGGTTGATATTTTCATTCGTTCTTTTTCTAATGTCAATGTTATTAACTGTATAGTTGAATTTGGTTTAGGAAAAGAAACCACACTGTAACTTTTTTACATGGGTGGATGATGCTACATCTGATACCATGGATTTGGAAGATGATGCATGTGTGTAAGTGTGCTACGGTGTTTGCTGGATCCATTATTGTTGTGTTTCTAGTATGTATATATCTTGCAAGTAGGCTGGAGTGAAATAAAAAATGTTGTTCTGTTGAGATTTGATGGTGTAACGAATTGTTGTTCATGCAATGTATGTAGCATGGCTTATGTATATAAAGTTATCTTTATTGGCTCAAAATGTTGTATAAAGATGGAGATAAAAAAATGAATGGAAACAATGTATAAAGACTAAACTAAGAATATGATGTGTGAATTATGCAGAAGTTGATTGTGTTAGGCATGACTAGTATCAGCATGTACAAGGGGAAATGACATTGTTGTTGTGTTAATAGCAAATGATGTCACTGGTGTTAACAAAACTTTAGCAGGGACTAAAAAGGACCCCGATAAAAATGTTAGGGACCATATTGGTCCCCTTTGTTAAAAACCAAGGACTAAAACGGTCCTCAATAAAAAATGTGGAGGAATTATAAGGGAACTTAAAAAGCAGATTGGAGTTAAGTGCAGTTAAGCAACACATGACTCGTAAATGGACAAAGCAAACAGAATAAACATACCATTGTTGACAAAAACCAGAAAGTGTACCGGCATATACATGGTTTGGACCAACATTTAAAAATTGCAGCATACCAACACAGTCATGACAGTAAAGAAAGATAGTAACCAAACTGACATAATCTTCTATTCATTTCACAGCAATGACAAAGATTATCAGTGTAACAACTCCAAGCACTTCTGATATCAAAAGTTCCACTTTCAGAACTTATTCTTTCTCATCACCCAGCACAGACAAAGATTATCAGTGTAAAACCAACCCTTGCAGTATCAATGATTCTCATGGTTTTCTTCATCTAAACTCCGATTATTTCAATGAAGATTTTAAGTACCTGGAAACATTCAACCCTTCTCCTTCAGATATCAAATCTAGATGTTTAAGGACTAAAATTTGTAAGATATTTCGTTCCATGATATTAACTTATCACTAAATTATCATAGATATCAATATATTCAATGTATCATAGTAATTTCTTTGGTATTCATGAATCATGAGGCAGCTGAGAGAAAGCATCATTTTGAAAGAACAGACAAAGCACCGACTTTAGCTAGAAAAGACTCCATGATTTCTTCTCATAAACATGGGTCAGAGCCTTCACCTTCTTCTGCTAAAGTTGACAGAAACTCAATCATTACACAGGCCATGTCCCTTTCCATCACAAATCCTCCAAACCTTTCTTCTCTTTGCTCCATCTGCAAGAACAAGAAAAATATTTTCATAAATGCGCCAAGGAAGTTTACCTACAAAGAGATAGCAAATGCAACTGATGGATTTCCAGTTTGTAACTTCATGGCAAAGGGTGAATATGGTTGTGTATACAGAGGGGAATTTCCTGATGGAAAGGTCATCACAGTGAAGCAATATAAGAAACTGAAGGCATTTGCAGCATCAGAATTCATTTTGGAAGTTGAAACACTTAGCTAGGGGTGGCAATTCGTGTTCATGGGTCGGGTTCGGGTCAACCTGGTTCTGACACGAACACGAATAAGCTCAACCCGAACACGACACGATTAACAATTCGTGTTATAAAACTGAACCCGAACATGACCTGTTAATTAAACGGGTTGACAAGATACAACCCGAATTTGAGTACAACCTGTTTTTACACCACACAACACGACCCAACCCGACACGAACCGACTTTATTAGCATCCTCAACATTTGCATTTCGAACATCAACCTCCTGGTCCATCATTTCAGCGTTGTTATGTGATTCAAAATCCATCTACATGTACAAATAATAACAATAATATAGATAAGAAATTTATATAACAAATAAAACCCAAATAACTAACAACCAGCACAGCCATACGGTGGGCATAACAAAGGAATGTGATATATTATTTTATTTTTATTTTTATTTTAAAAAGAAAATTTTAAAATTGAAACCTGTGAAAACTGCATAACAATATACGGTGGGTTAC